GATAATCCTGTAAACATATAGATAATTTCACACCATATTTGAATGACAGTAATAATACAACCATATTGGCTTGGGCTTCTTTATTTGAAAATTGAAATTTTTAAGTCGTATTAAAATGTTAAAATAAATATATAAGAGTGTCATATTATAGTATTTTGTGAATAATTGATTGATTATAGGTATTAGCAAACAAGTTTAAAATATATTAGGTAGAACCATTCATCAAAAAGAATTATAATTTATGTCCTTTAAAGAAGCTAATGACAACAACATTGACTTCAAGTTCATTTGCTTAAAATACTTCGGAATATAAATGGCAGAAAATAATTTATATATAAAATGCAGAGATCATTTATTTGCGACAGTTAGCCTCGCTTAAGATAAAAGAGAAAATAAAAACAATTATAGATGCATTACTTTTTTTTTTAGTTTTAAGTGAAGTGTCCATAAAAGCAATATCTTCATAATGGGCATCTTCCAAATTCCAAGTTGGCAATAGACAGTTTGACCCATAGAAGTGGGCTGTGTGAATATTGGATTATTGGACATTTTTATTTTATAAGCCAAATTGTTGTAAAAGTATATCTTCATACTGAATATCTTTCAAAAGTGTTCAGTAATTCAAGGTGGCAATAGACCAACTTAACCCAAGGATTTAAGCTGGGTGTATATTGGATTTTTGGACATGAAAGTATTAAAGAAAATGATACAGTTGACATTATTGTTAAAATTGGCGTTAACCAATATAAGTAATATATAATACTTAGACCCTTGCGAAATACGACAAATAAACCAATACATGCTGAAAGACGAAAGACGGGTACTTTAAATATCTGTAAAATCACTGGCATTATGTGCAAAATATATTCGATAAAAATACGCTAAATATTATAAGCATTGAAAAGTGCAAAAAATGTAAGGGAGTAGATTTTAAGAAAGTTCTAGTGCATCTCTATACGGTTTTCTCGAAATAGCAAACAGAATTTTCTCGATGTATCAGTTGTGAGTTGCTGAACCTTGTCTCTGAGGTTAGTGTGATTTATCTTGCAAAATTCATAAAGAAGACACACATCTTAAGCAATTTGTTTTGTCACGTACTGGCTTCAAGGACTCTCAACTGGTTTCTGGTCTGTGTGTGGTCTCGGTCAGCCAACAAATATTACTGTTTAGTAAACAAAGAAATAGTTCTGTGTTATATCTTTGATCAATCATAACCATATGCACCATATAGCTCTGACTATTATTTGCCTCTGTCTCTTCAAATCACTCTTAATGGAAAAAAATTTGCCTACGGAAAAGTCGCTGAAAATCACTTGTCCAATTTTTTCGGCCATTAGCCACAAAAATTCTATATTATTATATAAATTTTATATTATGGAGTTATGAAGCTACCAGAAAATGGCAAAAGGTATATATAATTGATTGAAATTCATTTTCCGTAAAGAACATTTTTATTCAGGAACACACTAAAAATGCAACAGTGGATACTAGTCAAATTCTTACGATAAAAAGTATAATATTATACATTTAAAAAATAAATTAATAAAAATAAAATTAATTATTTTGTATATTAAAATAAAAATGGTTATTTTAAAAAAAAACCATTGAAGAAAAAAATA